CTGGAAATTCTCTGCATATTACAATATAAGTATCAATTACATATGACAACTTAATTGTTCATGTCCTTTAATAAATAAATTTGACTCCGATAACGAGGGCGGGTTTAGGAGTTTTAGCCTTTCGACTATCGACAAATTAGTATTTTCTTCGGTTGTCTATTTTGGAATAATTAATTAGTTAAAATTTCAAATGAGCCGTAAAAGACAAATTTCTGTGTATATTTTGTAATATCAAGAGAATTTATATGCTAGTAAAGAACGTTATCGACAAACCTCGTTTCCGTCTTTGAAGAAATTTAACAGATCAGTACATCTGTTACGCTATTACGCCAGTTTCTTAATCGTCAAGTTCAAGTTTAGAAAAATGAAGATTATCGGTTTCGTCAAAGAATCAACTCTTCTAAAACAGCGTTCTAAACCATGACCATATATCTGAAACTAAAAACCATGTGGTTTCTAGTTATTGCTTACACCTAATATAATATTCGTTAACGCAATGAAAATATAATAAAGAATCCTTTGATTTAATTACCTTTACACTTATCCAATTCAGCTGAAGTTTTCTTCTGCCTCTTCACGGGCTTTACGATCGATTTCTGATTAAGCTTTATCAGTAGAAACTTCTTTTCGCTATAATTCATCAGCTTCATTTTCTTTTTCTCTGCATTTTATTTTTTTTGATATGTTGAGCAACGTCGCGTTAATTTTTTCTTGGGTTGTCTTTCAGCACCTTCCTGATCGCGTCTTTCAGATTCCTGTTTAACGGCATGTTCATAGAATTCGGTTTTTTGACTTGGTTAATCTGCTGAACCAAGATGGAAGCTGACGTATTGAGAGTTTGGACGCGTTTTGAAGAGTATAGTCTTTCGACTGGGTCGCACATTAGTTTTACTATGATTTGAATTTGGTGTGCCCTTCTTGACAATGACTGAGATGTTCATATTACACCAGAATTTTGGGATACTAGATGGATGTATTTTTTTTTAGTTTCCATGGACCAAATCACGTAACCACGTGAATACGAAGTTCTCTTCTGCATCTTGTTCTCTATCTTCTGAAATCGTTAGGAAAATAATAGTATTTAATTGACACTGAAAATTTTGCCAATTGCAAATCGTCTATAATTTTAAGAAAAACAAAAGAAAAAACTTACTTTAGTAATATCATTTTCTTTGTAAGACTATCTCATTGGTCGTACTTGAAAGATTTCTACATTTCATCTATAATATCATCATTTTCATTTTTTTGGTAATAAAATTATTCATTCATATTGCTGATTTCTATTTGAATGATATCTTCTCAACTATTATTTTTTTTCATCCTCACATCAATCCTTTT